GTAAACTGACTCGGTTGTGGCAGACTGCCTCAGTAGTGGGGGATACCCTTCCCCCATCCAATCCCCGAGCTGGACAGTCCTGGGTCCAGCTGCACTTGCTGTGAAACTCTGAATCCAGAGCATTTCAGATTGCTTGTTTTGTGGGGGTGGTACCCACCCATGGAGCCAGATCCCTTGGCTCCCTGTCTTAGCCCCCTCCCTCTCAGTTGAATGGGCAGCTCTTTCTCCCAGGTGTCCTGGCTTGTGTGAGTTTCTTTGCACCCATGACACAGCACTAGCTCAAACCGGTGCACTGAAAACACGTGGCGCTTTTCGGCTGGGAATCTCCTGGTCTGTGGGCAGTGAAAACCTGTTTGGAAATGTGGTGAGCACTCACACTGCACCGCTCTCACTGGGAACTGCATTCCAGAGCTGTTCCTATTTGTCTGTCTTGGATTGCTTCTCTACAGTGCATTATTTATCATAGTCACCAACTGTGTAATAGATCACTAAAGCGTATTCCTCCTAACTGAAAATTTGTATGTGCTCTTTGATCAGCAGCACCTCTTTGCCCCTCCCCCGGACTCTGGTAACCATCATTCTACTCTTTACTTCTAAGAGTTCAACTTTTCAGATTATACATGTAAGTGACATTATGCAGTATTTGTCTTTTTGTTCCTGGAATATTTTGCTTAGCATAATATCCTTTAGGGTCATCCATTTTGTTGCAAATGACAGGATTTTCTCTTTTTTTTAAGGCTGGGTGGTGGTCCATTGTGTTTATACACCATATGTTCTTTATCCATTCATCTCATAATGGACACCTAGGTGGCTTTCATATCTTAGCTATTGTGAATAATGCTGCAGTGAACATGAGAGTACAGATAGGTCTTCAGGCTACTGATTTCAATTCCTTTGGGTATATACCCAGAAATGGGATTGCCAAATCAAATGGTAAGTCTATTTTGAGTTTTCTGAGGAACCTCCAACCTGTTTTGCATAATAGCTGTATTTGCAAAAGGGCTCCCTTTTCTCTACACTCTCACCTACACTTATCTTTTGTCTTTTTGGTAATAGCCATTCTAACAGGTGTGAAGTGATACATTATTGTGGTTTAAATCTGCATTTCCCTGATGATCGTGGACGATGAACATTTTTTCAAGTATTTGTTGGTGATTTGTAAGTCACCTTTTGAGAAATATCTGTTTAGGTCCTTTGCCCATTTTTTTGATAGGGTTTTTGGTTTTTTGCTTTTGAGTTGTTTCTTATCTATTTTGGATATTAGGCCCTAATTATATCTGTGGTTTGTAAATATTCTCTCCCAATCCATGCATTGTAAGCTTTGCTCTGTTGTTTCCATTGCTGTACAGAAGCTTTTTTGTTTGATGCCGTCTTATTTCTTTCTTTTTGCTTTTTCCTGTACTTTTTGAAGTCATATTCAAGACATCTTTTTGCAGACCAATGTTGTAGAGCACGTTCCTAGATTTCTTCTAGTAATTTTATAATTTTAGGTCTTACATTTCAGTGTTTAATCCATTGTGAGTTGGTTTTTTTTACAGTGTGGGATAAGGGTCCAGCTTCATTTTTCTGCTTGTGAATATCTACTTTTCAAAGCACCACTTATTGAAGAAATTGTCTTGTCTCCACTGTGTGTTCTTGGAAGTTTTGTTCAAAATCCATTGATGATAAACACGTAATTTTATTTCTCAGCTCTATATTCTGTTCCATGGGTCAGTGTGTTTATTTTTATACCTGTGCCATACTCTTTTGATCAGCACAGCTTTGTCATAGATTTTGAAGTCAGATAGTGTGATGCCTCCAGCTTTGTTCTTTTTGCTCAAGATTACTTGGGCTGATTTAGGTGTTTTGTAATTTCATAGAAATTTTAGGATTTTTTTTTTTTCTATTTCTGGGAAGCATGACATTGGAATTTTGATAGGGATTGCATTGAATTTGTAGATCTCTTTGGTGGTGTTTTAGTCTGTTCTGTGCTGCTGCAATGGAATACCACAGACTGGGTAATTTACAGTGATCAGTAGTTTTATTTGGCTCACTGCTCTGGAGGCTGCAAAGTCCAAGACCAAAGGGCTGTAGTTGGTGGTGAGGGCCTTCTGCAGCCCTTTGGTCATAATGTGGTCATAACATGCTATAACCATAACATGGACATATCATTTGTCATAATATGGCAGAAGATGTCACATGGCATGAGAGAACAAGAGAAGGTTGAAATTACTTTTATAATAAACCCAATCATGATAAGGAATCCACTTTGTTTTGCATGCTTTTTCTTCTTTAAAAGTTTTGGTCCAAAATCTAAAATGCAATAAAATAAATAAATGGGGAAAAAAAAAAGTTTTGGTGACTGATAAGAATCCGCTTACTTAATATCACTAATTTACTAATGAGAGCACAGCCCTCATGATACCTCTTAAAGGTCTCACCTCAAACACGGTTGCATTGGTGATTAAGTTAGCAACACATAAGCTTTGAGACACAATAGCAGGTAGTACAATAGCAGGCTCTATGAACATTTTAACAGTATTAAATACTGTGATAACTTTAAATACTGGATACCTTTCCATTTATTTGTATTGTTTGCATGTTTTTCATCACTGTTTTGTAGTTCTTACTGTACAGATATTTCACCTCCTTTGGTTAAATTTATTTTATTTTATTGTTTGTTACTATCGTGAATGGGATTGATTTCTTAATTTCTTTTTCAGATATTTGTTGGTATAACAAAATGCTGATTTTTGTATGTTGATTTTGCACCTTACAACTTTACTGAATTCATTTATTATAACAGTTTTAGGATGGAGTTTTTCGATTTTCTAAAGATTATGTCATCAGCAAACAGACACAATTTCACTCCTTTCTTTCCTATTTGAGTGTTTTTTATTTCTTGTCTGATTGCTCTGGCTAGAACTTCCAGTACTGTATTGAATAGAAGCATAGGAGTGGGCATCCTTGTCCTATTTGTGATCTTAGTGGAAAGGCTTTTGATTTTTGGCTGTTGAGTATATTAGCTGTGGGCTTTTCAGCCTTTATTGTGTTGAAGTACATTCTTCCTATGCCAAATTTTTTTGGGAGTTTTTATCATGAAATGATGTTGAATTTTTTCAAACACCTTTCTGCATATATTCAGATGTTCATATGGTATTGTTGTTTATTCTCATAAATCTGGTGTATCACATTTATTGATATGTGTATCTTTGCATTCCTGAGATAAATCCCACTTGATCATGGTGAATGATCCTTTTTAATATACTGTTAAATTCAGTTTGCTAGTATTTGGCTGAGGATTTTTAACATCTATGTTCATCAGGCATTTTGCTTCTAATTTTCTTTTCTTGTGGTGTCCTTATTTGGCTTTGGTTTCAGGATAATGATGGCCTCATAAAGTGAGTTTGGAAATATTTCTCCTTCAGTTTTTTGGAAGAGTTTAAGAAGAATTAGTATTAGTTCTTTTTGAAATGTTTGGCAGAATTCCACCACGAAGCCCTCCTGTCCTACGCCTTTCTTTTGAGGGAAATATTTTAGTACTGAATCAGTCTCTTTAC